CCCCCCCCCCACAACCCCTGCAGCGCCTTCCAGGGTCCCTGCACTCATACCCCCACTAAGGAGTGGCCGTCCGCGGCCTATGGCCTGGAGTTTGGGGGAGAGTGGGGGTGGGAGAATGAAACCTACCAGCCCGCAGAGTGGCTAAGTTTGGTCTCTTTAGGGTCACTGGAGGGAGGGCTTGAAGGGACAGTTCTTCAAGGCACCACCTAGTTCCTGGTCCCTGCTGTGTGCTGGACAGGCCCTGGGGACACAGCGATGACCGGACAGAAAATCCCTACTTCTGGACCAAACATGTTTGCCAGGAATTACAGATACTAATTAGGTAGGAAGGTGCCTAATTAGGTAGGAAGGTGATTGTGTGTGTGTGTGTGTGCGTGTATATGTATATGTACGTATTTATTTATTATTCCTTGGTTCGATGGAGACATGCTGTGGCCTGGGACTGCCATGCCCCCTGCCCCTGGGAGAATGCCCGCCTCAAGGGCACGAAGCCCCCAGCAGAGGGAGGCGATGGACAGACGTGACCAGAGCTCTGACGGTGACGCACTCAGGGCTACAGCCGGTTCCCTGCATCTCAGTCGGTGAGCAGGTACAGTCCTCTCTCTCTCTCTCTCTCTCTCTCTCGATGACGGGCACCGGGAGCGCGATGGTCAGGACGCCGGCGATGGCGCACAGGATGCCCACGATCTTGCCCCCGGCGGTGGTCGGGCACATGTCGCCGTAGCCCACGGTCGTCATGGTGACCACGGCCCACCAGAAGCCGTCGGGGATGCTGGAGAAATGGGACTCCGGCTCGTCCACCTCGGCGAAGTAGACGGCGCTGGAGAAGAGGATGACGCCGATGAAGAGGAAGAAGATGAGCAGCCCCAGCTCCTGCATGGACGCCTTCAGCGTCTGGCCCAGGATCTGCAGCCCCTTGGAGTGGCGGGGGAGGCTGCAGCCCCTTGGAGTGGCGGGAGAGCTTGAAGATGCGGAAGACCCGCACCAGCCGGATGACGCGCAGGATGGCCAGGGACATGTTCTGCTCGGCGCTGGGCTCCGTCTCCTGGACCAGCTCGGTGATGACGGTGGCGAAGTAGGGGATGATGGAGATGATGTCGATGATGTTCATGATGTTGCGGAAGAAGCCGGCCTTGCTGGGGCAGACCACGAACCGGAGCACCAGCTCGAAGGTGAACCACACGATGCAGGTGGACTCCACCATGAAGAAGGGGTCGGTGAACATGGACGGGGAGAGCACCAGCCTGCTGACGTTGAGGCCGGGGTCCCTCACCAGCTTCAGCTCGCGGTCCTCTCGGAACTCGGGGAGCGTCTCCATGCAGAAGATGGTGATGGACAGGATGACCACCAGCACGGACACGGTGGCCACGCCCCGGGCGGCCATGGAGCTCTCGGGGTACTCGAACAGGAGCCAGAACTGCCGGTGGAAGTCGTTGCTGGGGAGCAGCGTCTCGGGGTCTTTGATGTAGCCCTCGTCCGCCCGGAACTCGTCCATGGCCTCGCTGCCCAGCTCGTAGAAGGCGATCTCATCGGCGAAGACGTCGACGGGGACGTTGGCCGGGCGCCGCACCTTCCCGCCGGACTGGTAATAGTACAGGATCCCATCGAAGCTGGGCCGGTTCCTGTCGAAGAAATACTCGTTCCTCATGGAGTCGAAGAAGCGCATCCGCTTCTCCCGGTCGCCCAGGAGGGTCTCCGGGAACTGCGTGAGGGTGCGGAGCTGGGTCTCGAACCGCAGCCCCGCGATGTTGATGATCACCCGCTGGTTCCCTTCGTTCAGGGCCGCGGGCTCCGGCCCCGGGGGGTCCGGGTAGTCTCCGGGGAGCCGGCAGAAGGCCGTCTCGTGGCTGCCGCTGTCGCCGAGGAGCAGCTTCCAGCTGGAGAAGGGGCTGGCCCCAGGCCGGCCTTTGGGGGCGCTGGTGGGGTTCAGGTCTGGGTCGTAGCCGGGCTGTTCCTGGATCTCGTCCGAGTTATCGAAATTGACCAGAGCCACCTCCATTTCCTTCCAGCCGCATCCATCCATCCTAGGGGAGGCGGGGAGCGGAGTGGAGACCCTCGGTCTTCCCGACCTGCGGGGAGCTGCGGGGAGAAGAGGCACGTCAGGTGGGAGCGAGGACGGCGAGGACGAGGACAGGACAGCTGGCCCTGGGTCCTCGACGGAAGGTAGGTCGCTGGACTAAGGGATGATTTATGCTCAGCTGGGGGGGGGAACCTCCTGGTGGTTTTGGCAACATTCTTCCCTTGAGATCGGTTTGCACCCCGAGTCTGCACACACTAATAACTAGACGACATCAGGGAGAGGGAGCCGGGCCGAGAAAGGACAACTTTCTCCAGACAAAGGGGCCTCCATACGCGGTCGTCGGTAGAGGCCACCGTGGGCGAGGAGTTAATGTTTCCTAACGCTAACACATTGTTAATCTCGCATTTGTGTGCGGTCTTCCGGGCACCCCGCACTTCCGCGCCCAGTCTCACCCTCAGCTCCTTTCTGTCTCTCACTGGACAGCCAGGCCCTCACGGATTCTTTCAGTTTCAGCTTCAAGACACATCTGGACGTCACCCCTGCTCAGCACCCGCCTCCTCCTCTTGGGCCCCGTGGCCGGCAGCGTGGAGACAGCCCCGTGGGTTCCGCTGGGAAGGAAGAGGTGAGGCTGGAGGCGGTGGGCACCGGCAGGGAGCTCTCTGTGCCTTCGCCCTTGCCCTGTGAGGACCCCGAGGCCTGCTGGGAGGGCACAGTCCATGAGGTAGCAGGTGTACAAGGTGGAAAGATCATTAGATTATAGCTGTCGTTTTTGCCAGCTTCCCCACATCCCAGGAACTTTAGAAGCCAACGACTGTTGGTATTTCAATTTTATTTTTTTGCATGTGTGTGGCCTAAGTCCAGGATGTTTATGGGAAATGATTTGATTTCTAAAAACCCCTTTCGGCAGGTGGAAGTAGGTGGTTGTGTGTGTGTGTGTGTGTGTGTGTGTGTGCGCGCGCGCGCGCGTTGAGGGGGCGCTACGGGGAGCATCCCACGGGGCCCGGGCATCCACAAGCAGCCTGAGATTCCTTCCTCGGCCCCACACACTTTGGTTTCAACTTAACACACTGCGGACGGATCACGAGAATCCTCGTGTTTTCATATGACATAGTGTTTTACAAAGTGTCATCCTTTAAAAAGACACTAGCTTGTGAGAACATGTGATAAATAACTTCAAAATGCAACGGGTATTTAATTTTAAGGCGTGCCTTTAACACTGATGTAAAACGTTCTTTGTACTCGTTCAGTGGAGACTTATCTGGCCCCTGGGTAAAGCTGGCAAGGAAACTCCTGGTCCGCACTGTGCTAAGGACACTGAAGGCAGGCGAGCTGGGGCGAGGGTCGCAGCCTGGGCGCAGTCTCACAGGGGACAGGACAGCCTACAGTGTCGCTCGTCTCACTGCTAAGGGACATTAACCGCGTGAGCCAAGACTGGAGTGGGCTCTGCCCTGGGCTGCCCTCCTGGCCCCTGGGAGGAGCGGATGCTCTGGGGGTGGGGAGCACCCTGGTGAGGTGGGGTTGTGGGCTGGGGTATCTGGGGGTGGCTCCCATGACACCGGGCAGGGTCCTGGATCTGCGTGCAGAGTGTGGGGTCCTGTGTCTGTCCCTCCACCAGTATTCTCGGGTTCCAGAGGGCTGTGAGGGCGGCCTGGCTGACATGTCACTCCACTGACCGCCAGGGCCGCTTCGGCTGACCTGGCTGGTTGGCGGGGCAGTGTCCCTCCTCCCTTGCCCATCCATGCCCTCACACCCATGGAAAAGGATGACCTTTCCCCCGAGGAGACGACCCGTCTCGGTCTCGGGTCAAGGGCATATGAGTAGCCATGCTCCCCTGCGGGAGCCTCCACACAAGCTCTCGGAGGCTCCAGTGGGATCACGGGCGCTTGAGGCTGAAGTGACATTGGACTGGAGTCCCCCACAGCGCCTGGGCCTCAGCATCTGGCACTGGCCGGGCACAGCGCCCGCTGAGACGGTGGCTGGGGCAAACAACCTCTTTCCCCTGAACACACTGTTTCTTCCCCCCAGGACACTGGCTGCGAGTCAGACGGCACCTGGAGATGACGCACGCCCTAAAGGCGCAGGTGAAGTGTGTTTGCTCTCTGGGGTGACAGGCAGGGCTTAGGAGGGAGGAGGGGGCCCGGGAGGCTGGGCACTCGGCTCTCTTCCTTGTTAGAGCGGGGTGGACGCAGCGGGGGGCGTCTGTTTCTCTCCTGCAGGGACAGCTCAAGGACAGAGCTGTGTTCCTATAGCGACACGGCCGCGGCTCTTTCCTTTAAAACCTGAGCAGCAGCCGCAGCAACGCTGAGAGGGACCCACCGGTAACGCCTTCCAGCAGGGAGAGCTGGGTTCAGTTTCCTGACTGTGGGGAGAAGACTTTGCTCTGGGAGGTGGCTGGGAGCAGGGCTTGCGGGCCTCCTCCCGGACCTCCTGGTTCGGTGCACCACCAGGGCCTCGGATGGCCCCCCGTTTGCTGGTAACACTAGTTACAAGCCCTGACTCTGGAGCCTGCAGGCTGAGACTTGCAACTGTGAGCACTAGCCCCGTGCAAGTCATTGAACCTGTGCCTCAGTTTCTTCACCTGTAAAATGGGAGACTCGTGGGGTCACGGGGCCTGCCTTCGGCGCCCCTGTGATCGTCTGAGTCAAGTCAGCTTCTGCGTCCCCCAGCTCATGCCCGGGCTGGCTCTCCCCAGCTTCACCTGCATCGGTTTCCAGATCCTGCGGGATCTGCCTGTGGGAGGTCCTCTCTCCCACCCTCCTCTCCTCTCACCTGGATTGCGGCCATGGCTCCCCACGCGGTTACCAGGTGCCCCTGCTCACAGCCAGGTGGATCCAGTTGCCCCGGCATAGCCTCCAGCGACTCCTCCCCAGCCAGATCGACCACCGCCCACCCCCACCCCACGCCCGGCCTGGAACTGTGCACCCCTTTCCCTCCCATGCTGTGGTGGGCCCGGCCTCATCTAGTCTCCCCAGTCCATGGCCACGCGTGGTATCCTTGTGGGGGCTGGAGGGGAGGAACCCTGCTCCATGGGGCGGTCACCCTCACACCGCGCCCCCCCACCCCCCACACTGTCCTTTCCTGCACAGGCAGCCGGGGCTGGGGCAAGGCCGGTGTTAAATGTTGACACTGAACAATGAGATGCTGAATGGCAGCCTCTCCTTTTTGCAAGCACCCCCAGTCTTGAGTTATTGCCTCAGGCTCACCTCCCTAAAGAACCTCCCCATGCTACGTTCCCGGATGCAGTACGCTGTGTGCCCTGGGGAAAGTTACCTAACCTCTCTGGGCCTCAATTCCCTCGTCTGGGAAGCCGGGAGCAATCACCCTGTCCACAGAGAGACCCGGGGAAGGGTTCTGGTCCCGTGTCACCCCAGAACCTAGTGTGCTCCCTTGCCCCGAGAAGGGCCTCTGTCCATACCTGTTGAATAGCTCATTGCTTGGGATGCGGTGTGAGCAATGAAATGAAGCAGTCATGGAGGGACTGCGGGCACCTGGCGGGTAGGGTGGGGTGGGGTAGGTGCTGGGAGCTGCCTGTGTGCCCGACACCCCCCCCGCCCCCCGGAAGCCAGCCCGTTCTCTGGCCCAAGTTCTGCTCTGCCTCCTGGGCTTGCTCTCCTGTGGCTCTTCCATGGGCCACTGAGCAAAGGGACTCCTAGGCCCCCTTCAACCCCAAGCAGGCCCAGAATTTCTGGAGCAGAAGTGGGCAGAGTGGGTGGGGTCTGGGGACAGCCCAGGCTCAGGTGGGGGTTGAGCCTGCTGTTCTAGAAGGTTCCGAGCCACATGAGCGAGGAATGTGGACCACAGAGTAATGCGGCTCCCTAAGATCGTGCTGGGAACCGAGCCAACCTGGGAGCTCACGCCTGTTGCCAAGCTCACGACTGAACCTCCCCAGAATGCCTCGGGAGCGCCAGGAGAAAGACGCCAGGGCCTTCGGGGGGTGGCGAAGGTCCCCCAGAGACTGCAGGGCGGGTCAGAGGGTAGGGTGGCAAGGACTTACCGGGGGAGCAGCGAGGAGCGGGTGCGCCTGGTCGACCTGTGGGGGCCTGGGTGCCCGACTGGGTCAGCTCCCCATGGCCCCGGCATCCGAGGGCGTCGGCGGCAGGAGCTCTGGGAGAAGGAGCCTGAAGCTGATGCCTGGACTCGGAAACCCTACCCTCTGTGAAACAGGATCGGCCCTGCTGTCTGCCTCCGGAGGACGCCGAGGGGCTGGGCCAGGGGCGGTGGCAGGCGCAGGGCAGCGGGGAAACTGGGCAAAGTGGATTCGGGGACCCTCCACCTTCCGGGTCAGATCCGATGCTGACCCAGAGCCTGAATTAGCTGCTGATTCAGGCCCATTTCCCCAAAGCCGTGATCACGCGGAGGCACAGAGGGTGGCGGCGGTGGGCCCGTTTCCCACATCACCCCCCAGCTCGGAGACCGGCCCTCAAGGGGGTTGTCCAGCCCGTCCTGGTTCCCTGCGCTCCTCAGGGACTGTCCCTGGCTCTGAGGTCCTTATGAGGAACCTAGACTTTGCCGGGGCCTCTCCCTGTGAGAAGGGCCAGCGTGGGGGTACAGCTGGGGCTCCCTGATGTCCCCCTGGACGGGGGGCCAGAACCTTGGCCTGACTGACCAGGGACAGCGCCCTTTCCTCCAACTCCAGCCAGACGCCCTCAGGCCTCCTGGGAAGGCCATGGCCAAGGCCAGGGAGTGTTGGGGAGGGCCCTGCAGAGAGAGAGAGAGAGAGAGAGAGAGAGAGAGAGAGAGAGATGACACCCTGTGCTCTCTGACCTCACTGCCCCGAGGGGCTCTACCTGGAGAGGCCGAGAGCTGAATAAAGCTGCACTGGTTATAAGACGTGACGTTGCGTGTACCTTTACTAGCTGGTCACCTTGCACACAGCCCTCTTCTCTCTGAGGCAACACAACACAGTGGTTCAGCACAGGCTCTGGAGCCGACCGCCTGGGCCCACATCTAGGCTCCGCTACTAGCTGTGTGACCTTGGGCAAACTGCCTAACCTCTCTGAGCCTCCAAGTCCTCCTCCTC